CACTAGGGATACCTGTTTCCCTTGTGCGGAAGCACATATCACTAGGGATACATGTTTCCCAGGTAGAGGAACACATATCACTAAGGATATTTGTTTCCTAGGAGTGGGAACACACATCACTAGGGATACGTGTTTCCCACGTGGGGGAACACATATCACTAGGGATATGTATTTCCGAGGTAGAGGAACATATATCACCAGGGATATTTGTTCTCCAGGTAGGGAACACACATCAGTGGCACCCAACGGCAATTTTCGGGAAAATATCTGTTCGGAAGACGATTTGAGATCTAGAATTTTCGGAGCATTTATTGTAAAATTTCTTGCTTGCCTGCCTCTCCTAGGATTTTCGAACATCTACAAAATGGTAAAATTACCCATTTTTAACGGATTTTGACCCTAAAAAAGGCCACCTAGAATTTGCGGGAGCCTTTTCCTGGCTAAAGTTTTCGAGAAGGTAAGTTTTTATCCTTATAATTTTCGGATCACTAGACTTTCAGCTAGGAAATCCGAACAGATGAAAAGTTTTTAGGGGATAAAAATATGCCTATATCTACCGTTTGAATACTAAAATACGTTCAACAATGCTATGTTAAGTGGTTTTGAACTATGTCCTCGTTGGGTGCCCCTGACACATCACAAGGGAAATGTGTTTCCTATATAGTTTCCCAGGTGGGGGAGCACATGTCACTAGGGATACGTGTTTCCCAGGTGGGGGAACACATATCACTAGGGATACGTGTTTCCCTGGTGGAGGAACACATATCACTAGGGATACGTGTTTCCCAGGTGGGGGAACGTATATCAGTAGAGGGATTTGTATTTCCCAGGTTAGTTGGATCATCGCAATTTTGCTAATTAAGATTCTTCTTCTTTTTTTTTTCCGACCACTCAGTACTGTTCACTTGCTCCAAAGTAATCAACGCTTTCAAGGGATAGAATTCGTGGACCGACACGTTTTGGAAAAGTACTCAATTTAATATTTCCTTTGTCTCCCACGCAGGCGTTTTAGGGGAGCTCGTTTCTCATCCCTCCCCACAAAAACGCCTGCGTGGGAGGCTAATATTTCTTCGCAAAGCATGCGTGGCTTCAATCACGCAACGATTCTTAGTCCCTGTTTCCACGGTCTCCACAAGGAACGCCTGGCACAATGACCTGCTTTTTGTGACCCCAGAAACAAACCAAAAATTCCGGGGAGTACTTCCAGAAAAATTAGGTGGGGTGTGCAGCACGCTACCTGAAACTCTTACCCTATTTCAGACCAAAATCTGTGATTTTCCCTGCCCTATTTCAGACCTGATCAAAAATTTGATACCCTATTTCAGACCTTAAGCTCTGGAGCCCGGCGCGTGACCGGAGCGCATGACAAGCTGTTACGGCACGTACACGGTAGTTGGCGTAACCCCCAGGGGGGTACTCCCATACATTACCTATACGGGTATGTGCCGCCCAATGGGGTCGTGATTTTGAAGCTCCTGATTTAGAACGGGGTATCCATTTCAGAGGCGTTTTCTAGAACGGGGTATAAAAACTTGTGGATCACGGCTTTATCTTCTGCTTAAAATTGTTGCTGATTATAATAAAGCATTTATTTAATGTATAAGTCGAACAAATAAAGTAATATCTTTTTAAAAAAACAGGGCTATTTCAATTTACAAACTTTCCAGAACGGAGTATAAAAAATTGGCCCATTTCTAGAATGGGGTATCAGTTTTAGGGCGAGTTCTAGAACGGGATATTAAAAATTGGCCCATTTCTAGAACGGGGTATCAATTTTAGGGGAAATTATTTTTTAGAACGGGGTGCCAATTTGGAGTCCCGGGCGGCACATACCCACCCAAAAAATACCCAAGTGCCCCCTCCCCCCCGGGGCGTAAACATTAAAAGGGAATTGGTCTTATCGCCAAATGATGAAGAAGTAGCTAATTCTTCTAAAAAACATACCCAATTCAAGACTAGAAGGCACAAACCATACCCAGTTTCAGACCAAAATGGTCGAAATTGATACCCTATTTTCAACCAAAACGGCTCAAAAAATCTTTTGGCGCGGCATATACCCTTACAGCCTATATACGGGACTACCCCCCCCCCCCCGGGGGGGGGGGCGAAAAACGTGTTGCAGATTATGAGTCTCGCTGCTTACGCAAGCGAGACTAATTAGCCGCTTTTTCTCGGAAAAAAGGTAGGGAATCAAACCCTCTCTCTCTCTCTCTCTCTGCTTCGCCGTCCCTGTTACTAACACCACTATTGTGATTAGAGGTATTAAATATGAATGGGAAGTAAGTTAAGATTTGTTATCAGTTCAAACTACATTACAAAAGTAACCCATCTGCTGAAGAAATAGTTGCATACGACCATACTGTGCCAAATTTGTGTTGCTTCCGGTGACGTTGCGAGTGTCTATCCCAAACTTGATCGGGCTTACATCGTGTCAGTCGAACAGCATCTTGAAGCTCCTAGGGTGTCGACGCAGCAAAAGAGAACAGAACGGTCTGCATAGGATATCAAGTCGCTCTTCTTTACAGCTTTTCAAGTGGGAAACTAGTGAGCAGTGATTTCGCAAAGAGACACTTGTTTGTAGCCGTTCAGACACTAGCACACATCAAAAGGCATACACTGAAGATAACTGACGCAATCGGTTTTTGCATAACGACCGTTGGGTCGTGTATCAGTAAAAATAATGATTCAAAGAATTTTTACGGTTATGTAATGGTAAACTGCATTTACCAAGGTGCAAATTTGAAGCACTGTAAACGAACTTAAGATTTTAATGGATCTAATTTTCGGAAATCAACTTTTCACAATATTACATCGATATTTCTGAATTTCTAAATATTTGGTCTAAAGGTCTTCAGGTCATGTACTACCCTTGCTAAACATTGTCACTACTAACTACCCCTAAAGAGTTCTGCAGCTAAGGTGGAAACAAAAGCACACACGGTTGAATTGAGTTTTATTCAATATCAGCAAATACAAATGAAGTCAAGTTGCATGTGCTTTATAGCTACCCGTAATGATTTGAAAAGACCACAGGAAAAAACAGCTCGGATGTACAAGCTCACCTGGCAAACTGTCATAGAATCCTTTGTAAGGAGTGTCCCATAAAAAATGACATTATTTGCCAGTTCACATCCATTTGTGACCGTAATAGCCGTGGTACAGTTCTCAGTATTTGTTGAGGCTTTAATCTTCTACGAGTAATAAGTGTTCCAACAAATAACTAACAGCGAATGTTATTATCTCTTGTGAAATTTCTTGGTTGGGTCTTTGGCATAATCTAACATCATCTGACAGGGAACAAAGCGTTCTCCACCAATAGTTTCATGTAATCTTTCCATTCTGGCAACAAACTTGTCAGCTCCATAAGCATCAAGGTAACGGAAAGGACCTAAAAATTGACAGATTTACGACTTGAATAAATACTTTTCCATGGATCAACAGTCCTAACTTAATCTGACCCTTTTCACTCCCACAGCCAGTCTCCGAGACAAGAAATTTAACATGTTGTATACACTCTCCTGCATAGAGGCCTCCTCTTGCCGTGGAAGGCTGGGGGATAGCGTGCGAACAAGCTCTCCATTTGGGGAGTCGCGACAAGTCACGCGAGAGCCCTCGCGGTTTCGCCGCTCGCTCACGCGGTCTATCGCGACTCGCTTTGCTCGCCACAAATGGAGAGCTTGCTAGCAGGCTACCGGGGGTGGGGGTGGGGGGAAGGGGGGGGAAGGGGGGAGAGACACAAGGGGGAAGATAACTATTCAGTTTATTGGAATACCCAGTGCGAGCCTATGGAGGAGTGAGTAACTTCCAAGTCTCGCGATGAAATCTTAAGGTGTTTCCATTAAAAAAAAAACCTCACTGGCAGTGGTATCAATTAATTCAACAATATTAATTCTTCAATATTTCGCAAGGGTCTTATTTGTAAAAGGGATGTTGTGGCCCTAGTAATCTATAATATTAATCACTTACCTCCGTGGAAAGGTGGAAATCCGAGACCAAATACAGCGCCAATGTCACCATCAACCTAATAAAAGAAAAAAATAAAAATTAGGTGAAAAGATTTCTTGTTTTAAAAAAATCCCTGATCAACAGGGATTTGGTAAATTCGTATAACATGGAATGAGGGCCATTTACACGAGGAAAAATAAGAGGTATCAAAGAAATGTCTTCCTGTCTTATTTTGGGTGGTTTATGTGGCCGTAGTATCAGCATCTGGACAAGTCTTAGTAGTCTCAGGAACGTACAACAGTGATGTAAACTGGTCTATAGCAAGAAACATGAATTCTTTCAAACTTACACTTTCTAACATCGAATGGGTTCACTTACTGGATTTCTCAAGATTCCCTCCTGCAGGCAAAGAACTGACTCATTCACAAATCGAGCCGCTAGCCTCAGCTGAATTTCCTCAGCATCGTGGCTGAAAAAAGGGGTAAATTTCAGAAACATTCTTAAAATATTCGGCTCGTCACCCGTTCGTCTTTAAAACCAAAGACACGCCTATTAGCAAAATGACGATTTAAATCACTCTGTCGTTTGGTTTCCACAGCGACGATCATCAGGTCTTCAAATTGCATAACTTGAGGTTGTCTGCTACTGATTTAAACCATCATTTTGCAAAAGGCACGTCATTGGCTTAAAAAAAGAGTGGATGACGAGCCCAAACAACGACTCTTTTTAAAGCCAACACAAACCCAACACAGGCTGCAAGAGATGCAGGTCATTTGAATTCAAAGCCACGATAAGATAAGAATCTCGCGCAATAACGCCCTTTACAGGTTTTTTTCCTCAAATCATCCACTTCTAGTTGGGAATCTTCTTCGAGGGTATAAAAATGCTACGGTCCATTTACCGTAGGTTGGCCTCCATAGAGGAAGGTCCAAGAAGAGCCAGTCATTTGGAATGTATGAATACCCTGCCAGTTCGATTTTATCGCCAGTTACATGCATGCACCATCCACTATTCTGTTACGATCGAGCTCTCCTTAGTAGACGAGTTTAACCTTGGATCTTATTGTCCACAACTAACAACCTTGTAAGAGTGCTGATCATGCTACAATTGCCTTGTGTTTGATTGATTTTTCTCTAGCTCGTGTGTATGTTAGAATCTCTCTCATCAACCAAAAAAAAAATCAGTATTCACCTGCCCTTCTTAGGCGTGGCAAACTCTTTAAGTATTTTCTCTGCTTCACCATTGACCTGGAGTAAAAAAAACGGTGACAATTAAAGAAGGATCAATAAATTATCAAGCTCACTTCCAATGACTGAGCTACGAGGAAAGCTGGCCAGAGGCGCCTAAAAGATTGCTCAAAGGTCGGTGAAACTGACCACAAATCAACCGTCATAGCAACCACGCAAGTGTTGATGATTAGGCACCATTCAACAAAGGACCGAAAGGACCGAAAAAGACTCAAGTCCTGGGACGACTACAATATCCAGGAGAGACTAAAAACGATTCTTTTGCAAAGTTTTCTTTTTGGGAGGGGAGGGGGGCAAACGAGGCGTATCATCGGAGATTTCCAAATGGTGATTGTACAAAACAAAAAACATAACTCTGCAAGAAAAGCCGTGAGTCGGCGTTTAGTCTTTGCCAAATCGCATTTGCATAGGTGTTTATAAGTGAAGTTGTAAAAGTCTTAAATGATCGCGAATCTTATTGTTTACCAATCATCCCAAATTTCTCTGATAAGTAAGGAAAACACCAGAACTCTTTTACAATCTGTGAGGCTCGTGAGAGACTAGAGCTACCAAGCTAAATCTATCACCAAATTGTCACCAAACTCTCCCCTACTGAGTAACACCGTGGGAAATTATCGTCGACCATTAAAGAAATCTAGGAGTTGACACGTTGGAGAAAAGAAACACTTTACTAAGTTCCCTCTTATTTCGTCCTGCACAATCTCACGTCATAAGCGATGTGATTTCACGTTTTCACCAGTTTGCAATACCTGGAATGGTTATTAAACAGCGTTAAATCAGGCTCAATTATTGTTTAACTGACTTACTTCTCTCTTGCCACCTTTTCCTGAGTATACAAAGAAACCTTTCCCAGATTTTCTTCCTAAAGGTAAAAATAATTTGCATCCAATTTAATAACACAAATTTTAAATCACAGAAAGAGCTCTTGCAGTTTAAAAATTGCGACAACCCCCTCACCTTAATCTCATTTAATTCAAACCAAATTTCTACGATTTCCTTAATTTATAGAATGCCATTCATACCTAAATGTCCTCCAGCAACCATTGCTTTTAAGAGTTCTGGATTACCACCACCGAATCTACAAACAGAAAATACATGCCCTTCAATCATTATCATTAATTAAGTCAAAACTGTAGTTTGGTTCTCGACTCAAGGATAACATACCACTTGAAGAACCATCCCTAGAGGAATCTTGAGTTCCTTTTTATGCAATATTATTGTAGCCATTTACTATAAAATTATTATTGTTAAGGAGTGGGCTCAACCAATCTTGAAGCCAAGCTATCCCTCTTTTGGTAAGTTGGTGATAGTCATTCACTTTTGCAGAATCTACAGGACGCAGATACATGTCGCAAGGTCTGCACTTACATCAATTAACAAGGATTATCCCATACAATCTCACTCCAACCTAAGAACATTAGGAGTGTGTTCTACCTTGAATTCAATAACAGTAGTAAAACACATTGCGTCAACCCTTAACAGTGAAGTCGTCTTTTAACTAACCTTTCCCCGAAAGCTTTTCCAAGATCCTCAGCAACATGTGAAGCCACATCGATACCAACCTAAATACAATAAAGCAAAGACATCTTAAATGAAAGCATTTGTTGTTTCTTAACTTTTCTCTCCAATTCACCAGCTTTAGAAGATGCTGAAAAAGGTGACAACAAAATGTCAACCTCATAATAAAAATCTTCATAACCATTTCGCCGTCTCGTCTTTAAAACTTACGGCCACGGTATGTCTCACCTCATCAGCCAAAGTTGCTGATCCAACAGGAAATCCAAACTGCTTGGTTAGTTTATCTAAATCTTTGGGACTCAATCCTTCCTATAAAATTACAAATTAAAGCACTTTTTTGAGAAAATGGAATAGTACCAGGCATAGAGTGATTAGACATTGAAATCAATGTCATAATCAGGTGACTCAGTTCATCACAGAAAAATAAAAATACAATTAATAAAAGGCTCAAAATAAATAATAGCTGAGGCACTTGCATGTAAATGCAGAACAGTATTATTTTATTTATTAAGGATGTTTATTGGTGCGGGTATTTTATTGAGAAAATACTGGTATTTTCTCAATAAAATACAGCAATGCTCTGTCTACAAACCTGCAGAAGGGCCACAGCCTCAGCCAGTGTCGGTGCCAGGATTCTTGTTGTGTAAAATCCTGGACCATCCTTGAAAAGGAAAGAAAATTAACCAAAAATAGTGACCTCCAACAGATTTAACAGTTGGTGATACAAAAAAAAAAAACAGGGTTTAGACAGATCTACTCTGTTGTCAATGTTATAGGCAAAACAGGAGAATTTGTCCTTTGACCATTGCAACAGGGTAAAAGGTTGACTACTAGCAGTCCCTTAGGATTATTGCACAGGTGACTATTGTGTGGGCAACCAGGTAAATGCATGATTTGCCTTGCTTGCTCACCTGTAACATACTCGAACGTGGGACCATCCTGAGGAACTGTTAGCAGTCTAGGGTTAAGGAGGAAATAACCAAAAATACCTTTACTACAATCACAGTTTTTCCTTGCTTCAGACCAACACTGACAGCGGCAGCTAGACAAGATTAAAATCACAGAAATACAACGTATCACTAACGCACTTGTCAAAAAATGATTCGAGCTTTAATTCAACTACATGTAACACTTGATTAACAGCAAGAATTCTGTTCTCTCACCAGCTGTATCATCTGAAGTCTTATCAGTAGTTATGATTTCCAGAAGTGGCATTTTATCCACAGGTGAAAAATAATGCATTCCTACAACCTGTCAAATAATTCAACTGGTCAGTCCTATTATTTTTCCTTTCTGTATAAGTATGCAATGCAATGCAGTTACATGTAATACAGGACATAATGTAGAAGTGATTAAAAAAGACAATTTTTTAAACTGATATTTTCAAAGCCTACAAAGCCCCAAGCTCAATGGAGTGCTATGTCTTTAGATTCAACATAATCAATAAAAAATTTATGGAATAACATGGCTAAATGGAATTTAGGCAAGGTTACAATAGAAACAATGCTGGTGAGTAGTTTCTCAGTTGCCAGGCTTGGGGTGGCCCCAGGCATTCAGAGGGGGCTTGCAGTTACTTGTAAAGTCATATTTAGCTTGCCTGCCATTGCCTTGCAAATTTTTCTGTCCTCTCCACCCTCCCAATGGTTCTTTCTACATAGGTAAGTATTGGTGGTAAGTATTCCACTGAGTGATTCAGTGTGACGGTGCCTGGTGGTGGCCACTTCCAGGGTTGCCATGGATACCTCCTTTTCTTGCTACAGATTTGCCCAGCCCCACCAATCCTTAAGGCACCAGCTCCCAAGCTCATATATTGGTGAAAAGTTTAAAGTAAAAAGTGCAGCATCTTACACTGCTTGTCTGGTAGACGACACCCTTTGCACTCAATCAAGAAATAGAGATTCAATGTTGCATTGGTAGCTTACCTTTTCTGGTCTTTTACTAGCTTGAGCAATCTGTGAAACATTAATGAAGAAAATGGAATGTTTTAGCATGTTCAAGTAAAAACAAAGAGTGAACGAAAAGTGACAGTCTTGATTACTTATCATTTTTTTAACCACTGATTAAAAAGTTATAAAAAAAACAAGGCATAGCTGTTTTTGGTTCCCAACAATAAACAACACATGCACTGAGGAAATGAAGGTGAATGAATCATATCTCGACAAACATGTTTTGCGAGATACACAATATTATAGTCACCTGATGTATGGGGAGAGCTGATGTATTTGATGCAAATACACATTGTTCAGGGATGACCTACAAGTTGGAAACCATTCAAAAACTCATTAACTATTCATAAAGAAAAAGCAAAAGAAATTAAAGTTTAATGAGTTAGAGTATCTTTATGTCTGATAAAGACACGGCTAGACTTAACTTCCAGTTTTTTAAACCCACATAAACCCAGATCTGAATATAAGTGTAAGAATGAGTTGATCTATATTAGAGAATTTGAAGCTGTTATAAAAACCAATGTTATTATTATTTTTCTACACATGTATAGATATCTGCGCCTGTCTGTATCAGGTGTGTTTTGAGAAACACTTTCAGTCTGGGTTGCCAAGTAAAATCAGAGAGCTTAATCTACGAAAGAGTACAGTAAACTCCCTCCTAGAGGAGACTGTTTGGATCAGCAAAAAGGTTCTGCCTAAGAAAAGTGCCTGTCTTGTGAAACGTCAAAGAAGGTAGGGAATAACTCTAGGTGCCCATTATAACTTCATTCTGACAAGTAAACATTCAGTGAACATCTCTGACCTGTTCTATTTCTTTGATAACTTTGTGTTTGATGCTAAGATCTTCAAACACTGCTTCAATCACCATGTCTGCATTTTCAAAATTCTGCAAATGACCAATAAAAATTACAAAGAAAAAGTTTTTAATCAGAAAGCTGCAGAGTGCTGATTGTTCAACGATATTCAACATAGATTCCTTGAGTTACATAATTAGCATCATACATTACAATCTCACTAAAACAGAATGAGTTGAAGCTATACATGTGAGTAAGTCCCTGATGATGCTGGTGACAACAAACGTTTTGCACATGATAAATTTGAATAACAAATTTCACTTTCTATGAAATTGGTGTATTGAAGAAACTACAATGCTGCATAAAGCTCATGACTGCATTGCTCTAGCAGAGCCTGATGGTCCATGGCTAATTTTCCTTTGGAAGACAAGGAAATCTTAAGTGCTCATGGGCACCTCAAACTATAATTCACATTACGTAATCCGAGCTTTTGGGATCCCCTCTTCTGCCTCTTACTACCTACTACACAGCACAGCGGTGAGGCTTTTTT